AAGAATGAAGTTAGCAGAACTAGGATGCTAGATTTCAAAAAGGTGGATTTCACCCGACTCAGGGAGTTAATAGACATGGGGCCATGGGGACATAGACTGAAGGTTGGGAGTTTCTAAAGGGCACGGTATTGGAAACCCAACAAGAAATTGTTGCAACATGATGCAACCACAAAAAGACTGGTAAGACCCCAACCAATGGAAAAATGGGCAAGTCACCAAGGAAGCTTACCAGGAATGAACAAGGACCTGAAGGGAAGAGAGGAAAATCAGGAAGGCAAAGATAAAGAATGAGCTGTACCTAGCAGGGGAGGTTCATTACAACAAGAAGTTCTTTAAGTATGTTGGCCAGGAAAGAAAGACCAAGAAAGCTGTGGGTCCACTGTTAACTGGCCAGGGAACTCTTATGAGAAGATGCAAAGAAGACAGAGCTATTCAACAGGTACTTTCCCCTCAGTCTTCACAACAAAGTTCAGCTGCAGCCAGACACCTCATAAGAATTATTTGTATTAAGAAGGGGACAAGTCGAGGGATGAGCTAACAAAAGAGACAAGAGTTTTTGATGGGCCTGAATAAGTTCAAGTCAGCAGGGCCTGATGAACTCTATCCCAGGGTAAAGAAGGAACTGCCAGAGGAGATCTTGAAGGCATTGGCAATGATTTGCATGAAGTTGTGGGAAACGGGCAAACTACCAGAGGACTGGGAAAAAGAGCAAAAGGGAGGAGCCAGGGAGCTACAGACCAGTTCACCTCACCTCAATACCAGGGGGTTGAGTTTAGGATCTTGAGGAAAGGAAGGAAGGAGAGCAACAGCGTAAAGACTCTGGACTTCACAAAAGCAGACTTTGAAGGGTAACAAGAAGGTTTTCTACAAGTATATCAGCAACAGGAGGAAGATCAGGGGAATTGTGGGTCCCATACTGAATGGGGGAGATAAGTTAGTGAGAGAGGATGCAAAAAAAGGCTGAAGAACTCAATACTTTTTTCACTTCACAAGTACAGTTTGGGGAGGAGGTGAGCAGCCAACAGTGGAGAAAGCAGGTTAGGGGCTATTTAGAAAAGCTGGATGTGTCCAAGTCCATGGGGTTGGGCAGGATGCACCTGAGGGTGCTGCGGGAGTTGGCTGATGTGATTGCAGAGCTGCTGGCCATTATCTTTGAAAACTGGTGGCAATTGGGAGAGGTCCCAGATGAT